TCTCTCTCTCTCTCCCCCACACACACACACACAAGCATGCCCTGTACATGGGCATGGGGGAGTTTTCTGCACGATGCATGTCCTAAAAGTGATTGTGGGGACGGTTGCACCAGAAGTGACTGGATTGTAACTGCCTCCATGAAGCTATAAAACAGCGAGAGGTGTCGGCGAACACGGCACTGATGGGCGTCTCCGCCGCTCCAGGGTGTTTGTGTTGCTTCTGGTGTTGGTCTCCATCCTCTGGATCCCCGTGATCCAGGCCAGCCAGGGCGGGCAGCTCTTCATCTACATCCAGTCCATCAGCTCCTACCTGCAGCCGCCTGTGGCTGTGGTCTTCATCATGGGGTGTTTCTGGAAGCGGAGCACGGAGAAGGTGGGTGGCCCCCTGCTGGGCAGGACCCCATGCTGCCCGAGGAGGGGAGACAGGGACTGGAGAGGGGACCCGAGGCTGTCTGGACGTGGGTGTCGCTGGGGAGGATGAGTTCTGTTACCTGGCCTTCAACAACCACCGGTTCTATTTTGATGGGCTTCCTCATGAACAGGGAAGCCGATGACCTGTACGCGAAAGGCAGACAGGCGGCCGTCACTAGAGGGACGGCTTGGAGGCGGCTCGCGGAGGTTCCTGGAGGCCCGAGCCAGCCCCCAGCAGCCCCGGCGGCGCTCAGATGGCCTTGCTCCGATTTGCAGGGCGCCTTCGCGGGTCTGATCGTGGGCCTCCTCCTGGGCTTGATCCGGCTGATCCTGGACTTCATCTACACGCAGCCGCAGTGTCACCAGCCGGATGAGCGCCCCGCGGTGGTCAAGGACGTGCACTACCTCTACTTCTCCACGATTCTGTCTGCGGTCACCCTGGTCACCATGTCCGCCGTGAGCTGGCTCACAGAGCCTCCCCCCACGGAGCGGGTACATTTGGGTTTGGTGCTGGACCCACTGAGACCCTTGGCTGCACGTGACAGGAAAGGACCGCACGGGAGCGTCAGGCAGCGTGGCTGCAGGCTCAGACGGACCCGCCTTTCCCACTGCCTCTCTTCTCAGCCGCGAGGGGCTGGCAGCTTCTGGGGGTTCATCCTCTCTAAGCTCACTAGCGAAGGCACAAACATCTGTGAGCATTTCCAGCAAAGCTCCCAGTTCTCCTCGCTCGCCTGCCTGCACACCCAGTGGTCCCCGTGGCGCAGAAATGGTTGAGCTGAGGGGCTAACCGGGGTCCCACCCCATAGGGCGGGGCTTGTTAAGAAGGTGGGGGAGTGTGTGCAGAAGGTCCTGGGGAGATGAACTCAGAGGGGTGCGGAGTGAGAGGGAGGCCGGGAGCAGACTCGGACCGGCAGGCTGAGCTGGGGCCACAGAGAGAGGGATGACCACCATCTCACGGCCACCTCTGCTCCCTAGGTCAGCCGCCTGACCTGGTTCACTCGCCATGATCCCGTGGTCCACAAGGCACAGGTGCCAGCAGCCACTCCGCCACCCGCCACCCTCCCTGCGGAGGGGCCCCTTTTTTAGGCCCCGGGGAGCGAGGCCACACCGCACAGCCGTGAGTGCCGCCCCAGCTGCAGGCGCCCCCAGGAGCACGCGCCAGGGGGTTTCCGTCTGATGAGGCAGGAAGAGGGAAGTGGGTTCTTTAGTAACTTCCAGCAGACGCCTCGGTGGGCACTTGACCGCACACTGGTTGAGGTTTCACATGCAATTCCAGATTTCCGTCTTCTCTTGAAAAACAGGCCACACGTCTGCCCATGAACCGTGTGTAGAGCCGTGAGCAGGTGCCCGAGGCCCGGATTGCCCCCCAGTTAGCCAGGGCCCCACCAGCCCCTGCTGTCCCCACGGCCCTGAGGCAGGGCTGTCATTTATCATCCCGCGTGGCCTTTAACACATACTTATAACTATGAACCATGTCAGCCTAAAGCGGGCACAGGCCACGTGCTTCAAGGAAAACGAGAGAGGGTAGTTCCTGGTGGAAGTGAGGAATCTTCTGGCATGTTGGCTATGCCACAGCCTGGCTCCTGCACTCCACTGCCGGGCCCCAGGGGCAGCTGAGACCTGAAAGTGGTGAAAAATCTAAATATCCCAGTTTCCCAGAGTAGAGCAGCCTCCCAGAAGTAAGTACTGAGCACACCTGCCAGGAAAGGTGCCAGGAAGGTCAGACGGCCTGATCACAGGGCGTGAGAACGCCGTGAGGCCCCCTCCCCTCCCATTCCCTGCCCTCCCCTCCTCTCCCCTCTCCTCCCTTCCTCTCCCTCCTCCTTCCCTCCCCTGCCCTCCTCTCCCTTCCTCTCCCCTCCCC